GCTCGGGAATCAGTTCCGGGAAGTCGGAAAGCACGAAGTGGCCTACAGTTGGCTCCGGGCATTCAAAATGTGGCCCGGGAATGGAGTTCTGGAAGATCGAAAAGCACGAAGTGTGTGACTGTTTGCTTCAAACGAGCCCGGCCCTCGCCCGGTTCTGCTCCCCGGATCCCGCTCAGACCCCCCTGAGTAGTCATGCTGCTCTCTTTTGAGACCACTAGAGACCTATCAGCAAACGCTGTTAGGTAACAGCGAAAACCCACCTGCGGGGGGTCTTGAGTGATGTTCAGACAAGGTGTATTCCGTCTTGGAGCCCTCTTCGCCTCGTCCAGCGAGAACTGGATGGGCGGGCTGTGAACGCGAAGCGTCACGAATCACCCAAGACAGCGCCGAGCAAAAACACTAGAAAAGGATACGAAAGCAATCCAAACGAACCCGGAATCCATCCCTGAGGACTGTGGCCCACTTCAAAGTTGATTTTTTCCTCCGGACGCAGACGAGACCATCCCCGAGCCACCCTCCGCCGCACTCGAACGTCGGAAATAGAAACACCTCCGACAAACTCACAACGTTTCACACAGCCGAGGCCAAGAACTGCTTCCAGCCTCCTTGCGGGCTGAATCCGCCCCCATTCTGTCCTTTCCCTCCTCCACTTCATGGTCCATCAACCTCTTCGTCTTCACAATGCCTGCATCCTTCCAGCCGCGACCTCGACCTTCAAAACAAAGAGAAATGACTACCTTTATACATCGTTGCCCTCCTCCTGCCCATCACTAGATCCAGCCATCCTCCCCACTCCGACTTCGTCCCTGTATCATCCTCCTCTGCCCCCTCCCTTCCGATCTCCTCCTCCTCTTCATCGTACTCCTCCTCCTCCTCTTCCTCATCCGTCGCCTCTTCCAGCTCGTCACTCTTGGCTTCGTTTTCTCCAGTCCCGCTGGCACCGGAATCAAACACCACACGAAAAAATCACCGAAGCTAACCTGCGACTTCTTCCTCATGCCCCGGACGAGACATTCCCACATCCTCCTGCGCTCACTCCCTTCCGATGTCCCTTTCCTGCTCCTCAACCTCAACCTCCCCCTCCTCCTCCTCCTCGTCCTCCTCCTGGTCCTCCTCCTCCTTTTCCTCTTCTTCCTATTCCTCCTGCTCCTCACCCCCATGTGGCTACATTGCCTCTATCCTCCTTCGGCCCCAGAGTTAGACTTCACACACAAACGCGCCCAAAGTGAACTTCCGACTTTCCCCCCCGGCCCCGGACGAGAACCTCCTCCAAACACCTTCCGCCACGTTCGCAGGGCGCCATGTCGGCTCTGGCCGTCAGCTCCTGCCCACCACCCTCCGCCTCCCAGGGCGGGGCCCGTCCCCATCCAGTTTAAGTATCAAAATGCGCACCTACAGTTGCCCACACATAATGCTGACGATATTCCTCCGGCCCTGGCCGCGAGAACACTCCACTCACCCCAAGCCTTACGATCCCGTCCTTGTCCTCTCCTCAACCTCCTCCAACTCCTGTTCCTGCCCATGAGTCCCTGCAGCCACTTTCCGCCTACCCATGGAAACTCCATATTATTTCGTAACCGCTGTCATCACTGCTTACATACTCTGTCAGCCCCTGAACCAGAAACATCATTTGCAAAACATCCAGCTCCGACATGCGGTTTTGTTGTTTGGCCCTGGCCGAGAACTTCCCCAGCCACCCTCCACGGCAGTCCACTTCGCACGTATAAACACCTTCGACCAACTTAGAACGTTAGACAGCAGCCCTGGCCGAGATCTCCTTCCGACCTCCCTCCGCATCCCGAACCTGCCCCCGTTCTGTCTTCCTCCTCCTCCTCCTCCACCTCCTCCGCCGTGAACAGCTTCGCCTTCAGAATCCTTGTATCCTTCCAGCCGCGACTTCGATCTTCACAAGAAACAAAAAACAAACACAACCTCGAACCCTCGAGACGGGCATTGGCCACGAGCTCCCTCCACCAACTCTTCCCCTTCCAATGCCGTCTTTGCGGGCGTCGCCCCCACTCCTCCACCTCCTCCTCCTCCTCCTCCTCCTCCTCCTCCTCCTCATTCTCCTCCTCTTCCTATCCCTCCTCCTGCCGATCTCTCGATCCCACCATCCTCCGCCGTCCGACTTCGTCTCCGTATAATCCCCCTCTGCCCCCTACCTTGCGATGTCCTCCTCCTCTTCCTCCTCCTCCGCCTCCTCGACCTCGTCCCTCTAGGCTTCGTTTTCCGCAGCCTCCTCCGGCACCGGAGTGACACGCCACATGCAAAAAACTCCGAGCCACGGTCCCTGGGGCCAGAAGCACGCTCAGTTGGCAGCGCGCGCACGGAGCTCGTCAAAGATGCATGCGTTTGTTAACGCTCCCGGGGCGAGCCAAAGGAGCCAGTGATCGCTCTGTTGGGGAAGCCTGGGAACCCGTTGCCACAGCTGGACTCGCCGAGGGCCGAGGCAGAGCACAATGGAACCCCGAGGGCCCATGGCTGGGCGGAGCCTGGGTGGGAGTGCCGCGTCCTGCTCACACAGAACCGATTCTTCGAGCCAGCGCCAGGGCAGCTGTGACCCCCCAGGTAAGCTCAAGCGCAAAAGAATATATTCTACGAGCCAGCGCCGGGGCAGCCGTGACCTCCCAGATTAGCTCAAGCACGAAAGAACATGTTCTACGAGCCAGCGCCGGGGCAGCCGTGACCCCCCAAGTTAGCTCAAACGTAAAAGAACACATGCTACGAACCAGCGCCGGGGCAGCCGTGACCCCTCAGATTAGCTGCAGCTTGTGCTCGGAATGCCCCTGGAACGACGGCCTGGGCGGAGCCTGGGTGGGAATCCCGTGTAAAACTGATACAGAACCGATTCTACGAGCCAGCGCCGGGGCAGCCTTGACCCCCCAGGTTAGCTCAAGCACGAAAAAACGTATTCTACGAGCCAGCGCCGGGGCAGCCCTGACCCCCCAGGTTAGCGCAAACCTGACAGAACACATGCCACGAGCCAGCGCCGGGGCAGCCGTGACCCCCCAAATTAGCTGAAGCTTGTGCTCGGAGGGGCCCTGGAACGACGGCCTGGGCGGAGCCTGGGTGGGAGTCCCGTGTAAAACTGATGCAGAACCGTTTCTACGAGCGCTGGCGACGAGACCCCCGAGGTTATCACAACCTGGAACGACGACCTGGGCGAAGCCCGAAGCGGACGATGGCGGCGAAAACGGGGACGGAGAAGAGCCAGCGGCCTGTGGTCTGCTGCTGCGCAGCAGACCACAGGCTCCCCTTCGATGGAGGAGGGGAGGAACCCGTGCGGTGGTTGAGCGTTTTTTGGTTCAGTGTCGCTCCCCCCCGAGACATCCTCACAACTCCAGCGCCTCCGCTGGAGACATCCTCACAACTCCGGCGCCCAGGGGGGAGGGGGGGGGGTCCCCCCCTTTCGCCCCCCCCCCCTCCCTTTCATGCGCCGGAGAAGGGGAAGGGGAGCCCAAAAAGAAAGGGGGGGGGGCCTTTCCCCCCCCCCCCCTTCACGCGCAAGGGGGGGGGGGAGGGCCCCCCTTTGTGCCCCCCCCCCTGGATTTTTTATGTTGTCTATCGCTCTTACGGACCTCGGGGGGGGTCCAGGAACTGATTTTGAGCGGATTTGGGCGGGCGAGCCGGCGACCCCTGAGATCCTGACGTCGTGTTCTGTTTCTCGCACGCGGCGATGTCAGACTGCCTCGGGCCCCGGGGGCCCTCACACATGAATCCGGCTGGACATGCCGCAGGAAGATGGCGTCGAGGGCTCCGGCCGTGGTCCGAGGGACGCGACGTCGGATCTCAAGGTTCTGATAGGGGGCCACATGCGAACCCTGCCCCTACCCCCCACGATTTCTGAGGGGGGGTGGGGGGGGATTACCTCCCGAGCGACGTGAACCCCACCCTCCCCTTGAGAAATCGTGGGGGGGTAGGGGCAGGGCTCGCGCGTGGCCCCCCGTCCGAGAGAACGAATCCAGCAGCCCCCTCGCTGTGGGTCGGACGACAGGGGGGGCCTGGCAGAAAAGGGGGGCAGCGAATCCACTGCATGCAGCTGGCTTCCCCGGCGCCTCCCGGCGCCGAGGGTGCCACTGAATCGGAGAGCGCCCGGCGGCGGCGCCGAGACCAGCTGCAGATGTCGCAGCCCCCCTTTTGCCCAATGCCCCCCCTCTCGTCCGCCCCGCGAGCCCGACAGCCTCCCAGAAACCTTCAGTCGTGGCTTTCCCCCAGGCTTGCCGGCCCCCCCCTCCCCTTCCCCGCCGCCCCTCTCCCGCGGGCGGTCCTGGAACTACCAGGGCGACGTCTCGCCCCTTCCGTTCCCCCGCTCAGTTCACCGGCCGGGGCGCGGGAACGGGTAAGAGCTCCCGGCGGCCCAAACCTCCCCCTTCAAAGAAAAAACAAACAACAGGGCGCAGCAAGGGCCCCCGGCGGCCGAACCCCTCCCGCAAAACAAAAACCACCGTCGTGGTTTCTCCGCCCTTGCCATCTGTCGGGCGTCCATTCCTCGTGCATTTCTAGGTTTCGGCTCTTCGATGGTCCTCGCCGAAACAAAAGCGCACACGTCCGAGAGATGCCCAACCGCAACGAGAAGAGGTACAACCCGACCGCAACTTGCGTTGGCGCGCCCTGCGCCGCCGTGGCCCTGCCTGTCGAGAATCCGCCCCAAATCGCTGTGGTTTTGAACGTGTAGTCAAGGCAGGCGTGTGTGGGGACGACCGAGGCGTTGGTTTCTGACACCGCGCGGAACGATCAACCTTCAACGATCTTGGCTTTCCATCAGCGCAGATCAATACATATCGGCCAGCTCTGGGCCTGGGCCACCAGCGGCATTCAGCCTTGAACGCTCGTGTTGGGGTCGCAGCCGCGTCGACACGGCACGAACGTGCCGCATGGCGAGAACAGGCGTGAATCCCTTTGCCCTCGCAGCGGCGCACCAAAACCTCGTCCATGGAGGCCTTCGCGGCTGAGGGCTTGACCCCGCCCCCCCGTCCTCCACCCTCCCACCCCCCCGATACCTGTCCTGGAACCACCAGGGCGCCGTTTCGTCCACGCCGTTACCGCTGAAGTGCCAGACGCGCACCTGGCGGCCCGCGGGTGCGTCGTCAGCGCGCTCCGCCGATCAGGAAGCCCGGCGGTTCCCGATCCCGCTCAGCCCGATGATGATGATGATGATGATGATGATGATGATGATGATGATGATGATGATGATGATGATGATGATGATGATGATGATGCGGATGAGGATGGTAATGATGATGATGCTGCTGATGATGATGATGATGATGATGATGATGACCATCATCATCATCACCACCACAATCATCATATTCATCCTCGCCATCCTCATCTTCATCAGCATCATGATCAACGTCACAATCATCATCAACACCCGCGTCAACAACGTCATCGCCAGCATCACCCGCCTCATCACCATTATGGGCATCATGGTCATTATGACCACCATGCTCATCATCATCATCATCATCACCACCAATACCGCCATCAAATGCAACATTCGCACCAGCAAAACCACCATCACCTTCGATTCATCATCAGCATCGACAGCTGCATTTTCATCAGCAGAACCACCAGTATCGCCAGCATCATCAGCATTTTCTTCCTCTTCCTCATTACCAGCATCATCATCATCATCACCATCATCAACACCACAACTCGAATCAACATCGTTGTCATCGTCATCATCACCATCATCATAATCGTTTCGGTTCCTCTGGGCGTGTAGTGTCTGGAACCAGTCGCTCCTGCCTCACCCGCAGGTGCTGCGACACGCGGCGGGGTGCAACACTCGCCACAATTCACTGCGAGGTCCATGCTAGTGCTCCACACAAGAGTGGTCGGCTCCCCGCCTGTGCCCACGTAAACGTTGATTACTCTTCGGCGCCCACGCGACCATAAGTCATCACATTCCTGCACCTGTTCCGGCTGTCTGGCGACGGCGGTGGAGCGATTCACGCTTACGTTCACGTCCACCTGCATCTTCCCTTCGGGTTCCATGTGTCCCTCGTGCGCTGGCGGCATCGGCGCCGGGCAATCGATGGGCTCGGCCTGCCCATCTGGTGCCACTGCAACCGCTCCCCCTTCGACGTGTATGTGGTGTTCGACATCCGCCCCGCTCGTGGCGGCCCCTAGCTGCGGCGCTGGGCGGCCCACTTCTGGCGGCGGCTCCTGCGGAAACGGCTCCCACGGCGGCGGCTCCCACGGCGGCTGCCGAAACGGCGGCTCCCACGGAAACGGCTACCAAGGAGGCGGCTCCCAAAGCGGCGGTTCCCATGGAAACGGCCCCCATGGCGGCGGTTCCCCCGGAGGTGGCTCCCACGGCGGCGCTTCCCACCACGGCGGCTCACACGGCGGCGGCTCCCACGGAAACGGTTCCCACGGCGGCGGCCCCCGCGGAGGTGGCTCCCATGGTGGTGGTGAAGGCGGCTTCCACGGCGGCAGCTCCCACCGCGGCGACTCCTCAGGGCGGGCCCCCCGTAGCTGCCACCGCGGCTACCGTGGGGGTAGCTCCCACGGCCACAACTCCCACGACGGCGGGTTTTACACCAACTCTCACGGCGGCGGATTTCACGGAGGCGGGCCCCACGGCGGCGGCTCCCACGGCGGTTCCCGAAGCGGCGGCTCCCACTGCGGTTCCCGCGGCGGCAGCTCCCACAGAGGCGGCTCCCAAAGCGGCGGCCCCCACAGCGGCGGCCCCCACGGCGGTTCCCATGGCGGCGGCTCCCGCGGAGGCGGCTCCCGCGGCGGTGGCTCCCTCGGAGGCGGCCCCACGGCGGCGGCGGCTCCCGTTCAGGCGGGTGCCACGACGGCGGTTGCATAGGGCTGGTTTCTTAAGGCGGCGGCCCCCAAAGCGGTTCCCGAGGAGGCGATTGCCACGGCGGCGGCCCCTACGCAAGCTACGCGCGGCGGCTCCCGCGCAGGCGGCTCCGACGCACCCACGGGCGTTTCATGCGGCGGCGGTTTCCGCGCGGCGGCTCCCACGCAGGCGGCCCCCGCGCACGGCGAATCCGTCGCTGGCGAAGCGCACAGCGACCATGGACGAACTGCACGACGACCAGAAGGCGCTCGACCAGTCGGAGGAACCGCGGCTCCCTCAGGCGGTGGCACCCTCGCGGCGGTTCCCACCTTTGGGCGACGGCGTCCATGGGCTATCATCGCTTCGGTTCCTCTGGGCCTGTAGTGCCTGGGACAAGTCGTTCCTGTCTCACTCGCAGGTGCTGCGGCACGCGGCGGGGTGCAGCAAGACTCGCCGCAATGCACCGCGAGGTCAATGCTGCTGTTGCACGCCAGCGTGGTCGGCTCCCCGCCTGTGCCCACGTGTACGTTTAGTGCCCTTCGACACCCACGCGACTATAAATCATTACAAAAAGTGTACCCATCGTATCCATCATCATCATCATCATCATCATCATCATCATCATCATCATCATCATCATCATCATCATCATCATCAGCATCATCATCATCATCATCATCACCATCATCATCATCATCATCATCAACCTCATCATCATCATCTTCTTCATCATCTTCATCATCATCACCATCATCATCATCATCATCATCCTCATCCTCATCCTCATCCTCATCCTCATCATCATAATCATCATCATTTTCATAATCATCGTCATCAGCATCATCATCATCATCATCAGCATCATCAGCAGCAGCAGCACCATCACCATCATCATCATCATCACCATCGTCATCATGAACATAGCCTTCCTCATCCTCATCACCATCATCACCGTCATCATCACCATGATTAACATCGTCGTCATCATCATACCACAATCACCATCATCATGACCGTCCCTATCAGCATCATCATCATCATCAGCATCATCATCGTCGTCATCATCATTATCATCATCACAAGCATCATCGTCCTCATCATCATCATCGTCGTCATCGCCATCGTCATCGTCATCATCATCGGCGGCACCATCATCATCATCATCATCATCATCACCATCATCGTAATCGCCATGGTCATCGTCATCGTCATCACCATCGCCATCATCATCATCACCATCAACACCAGCATTAGCATCAACATCAACACCAACATCAACAGCATCATCATCATCAGCAGCATCATCATCATCAGCAGCACCATCACCATCACCATCACCATCACCATCACCATCATCATCATCATCATCATCATCATCATCATCATCATCATCATCATCATCGGCAGCAGCAGCAGCAGTAGCTGCATCCCAGCCAGGCCAGGAGGACTCACTGGATCGAGCGCCTGGTTGAATGCGCCGATCCTCCTCCGCTTGATCCGCCAGTGCAAGCCTGTGCTTGCGCGGCGAGCGGGAGCTGTTCAAGCGCGGGCGTGGCAAGACATACTACATCGATGCAACGTGTGACGAGAACAAGCGACCAAGAAAACCGTAAAAGCCTCCTCCACCTCGGCTCCCGTAGAGAGTAGAGAAATCGCCCTCGCAACAAGCACCCCAGCAAACGAGACCCTTTGGCACACGCACCTAAGGCTCCCTGAGGAAGGAATCGAGCAGGGCAGGGCTGCGTATAGTACACGCCCAAGACTGGTCAGCAAACGCAGATGATGGGGGCTCGGTGTGATTTGTCTTCCCTTCTGCTCTGTTCTGTTCCGCAGCTCAAGAAACACAAGTCTCAGCTGTTAGTGCAGTTGCAAGAACTGAAACAGGCATGGACTTCCGCTCCGAAAACTGAACACGGCGTGTCTATGAACGTGCCTGCTGCCACGAGTGGTTCATACGTCCATGTTCCTGCTTGAATGCCCCACTGGCCAATGATCCACGCGGATGCTGCGCAACATTCGTCTCGAAGGCCACCGTCGGTCGGAACCTGTGTGAGGGTGAGGAGGACCAATGGACCGACCCCACCCCGAGTGTTCCGTCGGTAGACGATGAGGGACGATGGTTTTACCCAACGTACCTCCAACTATCGAGTACCTGTCATCCGAGCCAAGAGGGGCGATGGATATGAGCAAGATAGGAGGAAAGTAGGGGGATTCACACACACCCCCCGTCCCGATCCCGCCCGATGCCCACGCACAAAGGCGAAAGGCACCGAAGCGGGGATCGGGATAGGAGAGTGAATCTCTACTGAACTCCTGTCTGCAATCCACTGCTTCAGCCCAGGAAGGAAAGAAAGGGACAGCCAAAACTATGTCGTAAGGTTCGCACCCAACGGCGGCGCTAACCCGCAAACAAAGTTTTACAGCGCCTGCCGCCGAGATAGAACCCAGGACAGTGCTGTGGGCTGGAGAGAAGTGGAATGGAGAGACTGAGCTCTTATGACACCGACCCAAACGGTCGGTGCCCGAAGCAACACATGATATGGAAGAAATGTATGAATGTGAAGTCTTCAATCCAATCCAAATCAAAGTAAGATATGTGAACGATTTGGTACGAGGGTGGTGAATCTTTTATGCAAGTTCCAGATCCAATCTGTACCAGATGCAATCTGTACGTCTTGCCACAGTTCGAGTCTAAAGGATATTTTTGCAATTGTGCATTATGCGATTTTTTTTTTTGAATCTATATGAGTAGTATTCTCACAACATGAGGATAGCTGGCACCATAAACTTTCACACTTAGTTGTTGAGTCCATGAAGGGGAAGAATCCTTGAAGTGATATACCAATCGGAAAGTAAGTGCGAGCGTCCTCAAAGAATAGATATCAACAAAGAAAACGATAAGATAATAGCGATAGGCGCATCAACAATAAGATAAAGTTGGAAGCCATTCAAAATCTTGTGGGCGGCATGGCAACCAGTTTCCTGGTGCATTAGCGTGGAGGATCCCAGCGCCATGATTTGCCCGTATATTTTCCCGAGGTGTACTTCTTGTTCCATGCAGTCGCGCCCCATCCACTATTGGCGAAAGGATCCCACGCTTTGACCCAGATGAACTCGCCCCAGTAGTCGTACCACTGGCGGTCATATGGAGCAATTTGCCTGTCGTAATAGTGGGCACCGTATTCAGGACTGTAACCGTGGGTCACGTTCGAGATAGCGGGGCGCTTTGCTAGAGGTGGTCCATCATCGGGACGCGCGGGCGCATA